AAGGAGGGCACCACAGGCCTGCAGGGTGCTCCCTCGGCCGCAGGAGTGTGGGGCCAAGGCCGAGTCCCCCACTCCCAGAGGCCCTGGTCGAACCTGGGGTGTATCAGATGTGTGCAGATGGTGCTGCTTCTGGGACCCGGAGCCGTGACTCTCCGCCTTGCTTTTGGAGATTATCACACTCCCTCGAAACGCCTTGGCGGACTTCATTTCTGGAGTTGGCAGAGTGGAATCTGAAGTGAGCTTGCCCAAGGTCTCGTTGCTTAGGCGCACCTGGCCCGTGATCGCAGTCTCCTGGCCTAGGGCAGAGGGGGTTTGTTAAAGGAGCCTTCAGAAATGACAGCGGTAAGGTATGCTGACACTGAAGGTGGTTCTACCAGGGAACACAAAGCCCTCTCCCTCAGCACTGGTCAGACCTCGACAGGACACCGTCCCCTGAGGATTAGATGGGAAGCCTGGGCCGTTTGGCACCAGATCCTTCCAGCAGATCCCAGAGTGGTGTATGTCCCCTTGATCTTCTGCTTCAGAGAACAGGGATTTCTGGAAGTGCTGGCACACGACAGCCCACTTTGGACATGTTACACCTGGTGCTTGTGACCTTGGCAGTGGCAGAGGCCCTCACTCTAGGTCAGAATGGTGAACCTGATGGCAACACAGCTTTAAGAATAACTTTTCCTTTCCTTCTTGCTCTCCTTCCAGCTGCACATCCACCCGAGCCTTCCTCCCAGTGCTCTTCCCAACTGTACGGCAACCCCTGAGCTCTCCTTCCAGCTAGACGGCCACCCCTGAGAGTTCCTTCTGGCTACACAGCCACCCCTGAGCCCTATTCCCAGCTACACGGCCACTCCTGAGCTCTCCTCCCAGCTAGACGGCCACCCCTGAGCCTTCCTCCCAGCTACAAGGCTACAGAAGGACAACCGATGCCTTTGAGTTGTGATGCTAGAGAATAATTTTGAACATACCACAGACTGCCAAGAGAACGAAAAGATCTGCCACGGAGAGGATGAAAGCAAGCTGCGCCTTGGAGGCAAGGCTTTTGAGACTCTACCTCACACACTTTGGTCATGCACCGGGAGGGGTTAGTCTTTGGAGAAGGATACCATGCTTGGCATGGTGGAGGAACAGCACAGGAGAGGACGACTCCAGATGAGAAGGACTGACACGGTAACTGTGTCTGAGATAATAAGATTGACTCAGGATCAAGCTGGGTTCAGAGCTATTGTGCACAGGGTCACTGTGAGTTGTAGTCGACTCGACGGCACATAAGAACAACTGAGCTGGAACCACGTCACATAAAAAACTTCCACTGGGGCTGGAGGAGGACAGCTCAGTGGGGAGAACAGAAGGGTGTCAGCAGCGGGGTGCTGGCCCTGTAGCACAGGAAGTTTGTGAAATGGGCTTGCTCTTACCAGAGTCCTCTCCTTCTTTCATGGACTGCTCGATGGCGGCCCGGATGCAGAGCTCTCGTGCTCGGATGCCCGGGATGCTGCTCCCATCGCAGATGGCTTCGAGGACCACGGAGTCGATGTTCAAACAGGCAGCACTGTAGTACTTGGCCATGCTGATGGCGGCAGCAGTCTTTCCTATGGAAAATCACGACATTATGGTTCTCGTTTGCTCAATGAGAGCTATAGACAGGAGCTTCTGGAACAGAGGTTCCTGTAAGGTGATTTCCCCAACTGCTCTGCCTGCAGCCTCTTACATGTGGCTTGAGGAGGTGCCAGAGATGAAGAAGATCAGATGTAGGAGTCAGGACCCCAGACCCAGGTCCTAATCCTACCACAGGTGTGGGCTGTGCTGTGGCAACCCACATCTCCGCTAGGTTTTCTTTTCAGATTGAAAAGTCAATTATATCAGATGAAATTTAAAACACATTGTTGCTCTAACTCCAATTCTAAGGTGAATACTTTGGTATAGAATTAACTGTGTTGATGTCTCTCCTTTATATTTCAATATATATGCTCAGTACAAAGACAACAGGAAATGCAAAATGAGAGACAAGAGAAAAAGAAAAACAAAAATCACAGTCCGTTCTCCAGACACATTGCAGCTAGCATATGGTTGTTGAGTCTGTGTATACAATTATTTTATTTCTACTTTTTCTTTAAAAAAAAATAAATAGGTTACATGGTAGGATAAATAATGGCTTCTTCTACCCAAAAAGGTCCACATTCCGATCCCCAGAACCTGTCAATGGTATCTCACCTGACAAAAGGGACTTTATATATATGATTAAAGGAATGATCTTGAGATGAGGTTATCATGGACTACAAGGTGGGTCCAACATAAGTACAAGGTCCTTGTAAGAGGGATGTAGGAGGAGCCGAGTCAGAAAAGGTGATACGATATTAACAGCAGAGAGACAGAGAGATAGGAAGATGCTAGCTAAGGAATAGGCAGCCTCGGGGTTAAACCTTTGGCTGTTAACTGAAAGGCTGATGGTTCAAACCCATCTAGCATCTTTGTGGAAAAAAGATTTGGCAATCGGTTTCCATAAAGATTACAGCTAGAAGATCTTACGGGGCTGTTCCATTCTGTCTTAGGAGGCCACCCACTAGGAGTTGAAATAGACTTGACAGCACTTAGCTGTGACAATTAGTGCTAGAAAGGACGAAAAAAAGATTTTTCCCAGGGTCTTCAGAAGAAACTGCGGTCTGTCAACTCATTTCAGAATTCTAACTTCCAAAAATGTAAGAGATTAACTTCATGCTGTACATCAGGGTTGTATCCTCTCCTCATTTCTATCCTGTACACATGCTGAACAAACAGGCCAGGAAGCTGGGCTCTCTGAAGGAGACTGGGATCAGGATTGGAGGAAGACTCATCAACAACCTGTGCTATGCAGATGACACAACCTTGCTTGAAGAAAGTGAAGCGGGCTTGCAGTACTCACCGAATAAGATCAAAGACTACAGCCTTCAGTATGGATTATACATCAACATCAATAATATGAGAATTCTCACTACTGGACCATCTTGATAAATGGAAGAAAGACTGAAGTCATCAAGGTTTGCATTTCACAATTAATAGCCATGACAGAAGCAGTCAAGAAATCAAAAGATGTGACGTACTGGGAAAAAATGTGCTCTCAAGGACTTCTTTAAAATGTCCAAGAACAAAGATGTCAGCTTAAAGACTGAAGTGTCCCTGATCCAAGCCATAGTATTTTCAACGGATTGATATCCACGTAGCAGCTGGACAATGACTAAGGAAGAACAGGTGGTTTTGAATTGCTGACAAACAACACTGAACGGGCTGCCAAGAGAGCACACACATCTGTCCTGGAAAAGGTGCAGCCAGAGGGCTCCTCGGAGGAGACTGTCTCACAAAACACAGGCACGTGACCAGGAGGGGCTGAGGCCAGTCCTTGGAAAGAGCATCAGTTTGGAAAAACAGGCCAGTGAAGGAGAGAAAGACTCTCAAAGAGCTGGCTTGATACAGTGACTGAACCAACAGGCTTCAGCCCAGCATAGATTATGAGGACAGTGTGGGGTCAGGCAGCATTTTACTCTGTCATGCATACGAGTGTCTTTAATGACACCTAACAACCACCTCAGCGAGATGGACAGACACATTAACAGTGGGCATGGGCATATCAGAGGATGGTACAGGATAAGACAAGGTTCAGATCTGTCATTCAAAAGAATTTAAAGGAGTCAGAGTCTATGGCACTAGACAATAATAACAGGAACAATGACAAGCCATTATTGTTGGGTGATCTGTTACAGTATTGACAGAAACTCCTATATAAATCATCAATATGGCATTTTACCTCACTTAGGACAATGAATCACGGACATCTTTCTGTGCACTCAACAGACTTCTGTGACACTGATACAATTCACTACCAGCATGTACTATGGTGTCAACTGGACTGGGGGGTGGGGCACGATTCTCAGTGGACTGGATGTTATGCACTGATTTAATCCTCACCTCCGAGGTTATCTAAGGTGATGTGTCAATCACTTGTAAGGGGATTAGGGTGGGATCCAATACCCTTACTCAGTGACAGCGCTTTATCTGACTTGAAGGAATATCCCTTGGGTGTGGTGTGTATCACCATTTATCTTACAAGAGATAAAAGGAGATAGATGTGAGCAGAGGGAATCATCATCAAGAAACAAGAGCCAGAAGCAGAGCATCTCCCTTGGATGCAGGGGAAGATCTCCAAAGAAGCCTCGCCTGTAAGGAGAGAGGGAATGTCCCCCAGAGAGGGCAGACAAAGAAAGCTTTCCCCTAGAGCTGGGGCCCTGAACTCCGATTTCCATCCTCCTAACATGCAAGAGAGTAAATTTCTGCTTGTTAAAACCACATGTTCACGGGATGTCTGTGACAGCAGCACTAGACCATAAGGCATACAGCTTGGTTGACCAGTTCACCGCAATGAACATTTCAACTGCTCTTGATTTTGCCAGTATGGGGAGCTGTGCTTCAGTGAACATTTCCGCAGTCGCTTTCAATCTGCATCATTAATTATTTTCCTAAGGTCAGATCTGAGATGTAACACTGCCAGGTCAAAGATTTTGCACATACTTCCTCTCTATTTTTAAATACTTTAAAGTCTTGGATTTTTCTCTAATATTTTAATGTTTTTAAATTATTAAAGCAATACAAATTAAAAAAAAATCAGAGGCATAAGTTAAAAATCAGGTCCTCCCTCTACCCTGTGTCTCTGGGGTCAGCAATTTAATAGTATGAACATGATCTGTGGGCACAGAACAGTAAACTAGAACTGGTTTATTGCCTCCAATATCACATCGGCGAGCTCTACCATAAAGCCCAAAGGAGTGAAATCACCTATTCTTGCAATCTGATTTTTATTCAAACCATCAAACTGTTCTCTGTGAACATTCTCTGAAAACTGTCTTTGTTGCAGCCCACATGTCTCGGCTGACTGTGCAATTTGAGTCTTTCATCTCCAGACGAAGGTGGTTGAACCCTATGTGAGAACAAAGCTTCGTGTCTCCTTTCAGGTTCATTTTCAAGGTTAGCTCACTGGCTGTCTTCAATCTTTGCCGATCCCTCATGGTTCTGCCCAGAACACCTCACAGTGCAATGAGGGATGATCATGACAACAAAAGAAATGCTCTGTAAGTGTCTTCTGCAGGATGGACAATGATTTGGTCAGGAAAAGGCTTAGTCCTTTATGGGAATAAACTAAAACTAAGACATTTGGTGAAGATTATTTAAATATTACTGGAGCACACAAAGAACTATCAGAAATTCAAGCTGGATTCAGAAGAGGCCATGGAACTAGGAATCTCATTGCTGATGTCATATAGTTCTTGGCTGAAAGTTGAGAATATCATAAATTGGGTTTTATTGACAATGCAAAGGTACTGAACTATGTGGAGGCTTAAAATCAGAAAAGATGTGCATCGGGGTTACATCCCTTCACCGATCTGATTTAATCTGTACATTAAGCAAATAATCCAAGAAGATTGACTAAAAACAGAAAAATGCGGCATCGTGATTGCAGAAAGACTCCTTAACAGCAAATGTTAGACAGATGACACAACCTTTTATGCTTAAAGTGAAAAGAACTTGCAGTATTCACTGCAGATCAAAGACTATATGTAAACTTCAGCAGAGATTATCTATATAATTATCTATATACACCTCACTAACAAGAAAATGAAAATCCTTGCAAGGAAACCAAGAAACATCATCATGATAAATGGAGAAAAGACTGAAGTTACCAAAGATTTCATTTTACTCGGATCCACAATCAATACTAGCAGCAGTCAAAAAGTCAAACAACATACTGCATTGGACAAATCTGCAGTCAAGGACCTCTTTGAAATACGAAGAAGCAAGGAACCTGCAGTCAAGGAAGAAAGAGCAAGGATGTTACTTTAAAGCAAGGATGTTAGTTTAAAGCTTAAGATGTGCCTGAACCAAGCCATGATATTTTCAATCACTACAATGTGCACGGAAAGATTGGACAATGATTAAGGAAGAGCAACCGAGAACCCCTGTCTCTGAGTAGTGGTGTTAGTCAGCAAATGGTGAGCGCACCACGGACAGCCAAAAGGGGACACACACCTGTCTTGGGAGACATGTGTCCAGAACGCTCCTTAAAGGCAATGATGAAATATAGATAAAATTTGGGCAGACTGGGTGGGATCAGTCCTTGGAGAAGGACCTCATGCTTGGGAAAGTGAAAAGTCAGTGAAAGAGCGGCAGACTCTCTGTGGCATGGACTTCATCAATGGAGTTATGCCGAGCAGAGACTGTGGGGATAGGACAGGATTGGCCTGGGTTTTGTTGTACTGTTTAGTCCCTTGGGTGTAACCCACTTCCCGCATAAGAAGTTTCTCCCATCTCCCCAACCCACAGAGTTGATGCTACCATCTTGGAAGTCAAGGATTTTTACAGGAGACACGGCACCAGGTCCTCACCTCCGCACGGGGTTGGTCACTACCTGAGAAAGGCGTCCCATGGACGATGATGGCGATGCCCTTCCGGTTCCTGGCCAAGTGGCTTTCTGTAGAAGTCTCAATGCCCAGGTGGCGGGCGATGGCCTTGCTCACTGGGTTGTTCTCTATTTCTCCAACCTCCTCGCCTGAGTGGCTGTCAATGCTCTGGACGGTGTCCGCTGCAAATGACATATATTCCTGTGTGTGTGCATGCCTGTATGTGCGCACACCCAGAACTTATCATGCTGCTGTAAAACGAGGAACGGGGAGTGATGGGAGTTGTTGCAGGGGGCCTTGCTCCCACCTGTAGTGGAGGACAGTGCCCTTTTGGTCAAGAAGTTGTCCACAGCCACGAGAACAAGGGCAGGGCTGCGGATGGCTGTCACTCAGGGGCAGGCCAGTAGGGCCAAAATGGATTGATCACAGGCCTGGGATTCTCTGTTTCAATCTCAGTTTTGCCATTATACACTCTTGCCATGATGTACTCACTTCCATGACGAACAACAACAAAACTCTTTAAAGAGCTCATTAGTCTCACTGATGCTTCCTATTCCCTAAAAGGGGGAACAATGGGCTATATTCTGATTTATAATTGCTACTAAATGAACCCGGTTTTGCTGAATCTGAGTTAGCAAACGCGCACTTAATGTCTTGTGTAACTTGGGAAAATGAATGCCATGAAGCAGCCCACAATTCTGGGAGGCCCAGCTGGATGTCCTGAGTTGTCACCTGATTTCCTTCTTATCACAAACATTTTCTAGTGTTATATTAAGCACATCTGTAATTTTGTCGACCCAGCATCCTTTCAAGGAGCCTGGTGGTGCAGTGGGTTAAGGCACGTGGCTGCTTCCCCAAGTTATCAGTGGCTGGACTGTCATCCACTCTGAGCGACAAAGAGAAGGCAACCCCCTAGGCAGTCCTACTGTGTCCTGCGGGGGGGCCCCACTGTGTCCTGTGGGCGGAGGGGGAGAAGCCCTGTGTCCTGCAGGCCCCCCACTGTGTCCTGTGTCTGCCCCACTGAGTCCTGTGGGGGGCCCATTGTGTCCTGCAGGGCCCCCCACTGTGTCTTGGGGGGGATGTGTGTGTCATGGGTAGGAACTGACTCAGTGGCAATGGATTGGTCCCCATCCTATCAACGTCCCTACTCCATGAGGAGTCTGCCTGCCCATATAATCTAACTGGAGGGACAGTAGGAAAAAATGCATCCTTGAAAGAATTCTCTGTCCACCTCCCAAATAAAAAAAAAAAAATGAAGCCCACTGTCATCAGGCTGATTCTCACTCCCAGAGAGCTTACAGGATAGGGCGCGTGTGCCCCATATGGTTCCCAAAGCCATCAATCTGGGCAGAAGCAGAATGCCGTGTCTTTCTCCTCTGGAGTGGCTGGTGGTTTTGAACTACTGACCTTTGGTTAGCAGCTGAGTGTTTTAATTACCACACAACCAGAGCTCCTTGAATATCCACCCCTACCCCCACGAGTCTCCTAGAATTTGAGCATAACCAGAAAACACGCTCAAAATTGCTCCATTTTAGCAACAATGAAGTATTGCCTTAACCTCACAACAATAGCAAAATCCAGCAGAAGCAGAACAGCACGCAGCAAACACTGGCGAGCATATGGAGAGACTGGGACTCTCACTCACTGCTGCTGGGAATTTAAGACGGTACAACTCGTATGAAGGGTAACCTGGCACTTCCTCAAAAAGTTGGAAATAGAAACACCATTTGACCCAGCTAGTCCATTATTGGTGATATATCCCAAAGAAATCAGAGCTGCAACACCATGCTGAGTGAAACATCTTAGTCCCAAAGGGACAAATATGGCAGAAGCCCACTACTGTAATAACAGGCTCAAGCAGGGATGTAGGGGAGAGTAGGAAAAGAATGGACAGAAAATGAACCCTGCACTGGAATGAGAGCAAGGAAGGGACATCTGAAAGGAAAGGATGATTAGGAACCATGTGTGTGACAACTAGTAGCTTGAACCGGACAAGCATTACAAAGGGAATGGAGGAGGGAGAGGCAGGAAAGTGTACACACACGCATGAATGAAACCACGCTCTTCGGGAACCTTCACTGAAATAATAAAAAACCACCACACTTGAAAACAAGATTCACGCCTTCAAGTCAGTAGTGTTACTGTTGTTAGGTGTTAGTGTGAGTTGGCTCCAACTCACAGGAACCCAGAGCACATCTGAGTGAAATGCTGCCCAATTGTCATTTTAAGCACATCTATCATTTTGCCAAAGAACTGTGACTAGAAGACGATACCTCATGCTAAGCTCGTCAGTCTATGTGCCTGTGTGCTGTGTCAGGTCTGGGTGGGGCGGAGCTGGAAGCCAGTGCTGCATTTTATGGAGAAAAGGGCACTGAGCTGTCCTCCCACTTCTGTTTGGGAAGAGCGGGCACCGAAACCACGAGGGAGAACGCGTGATTACTCTGAAACATGATTTTCTCCAGGCTCTCGTCGTCCTCGTCCTCGTCAGTGAAGCCTTTGGCCTCGGCCCCCGCGATGTGCCGCTCCTCCAGGATGGACGTGGCGGACAACCCTCTGCTGAGCGAGGTCCTCTTGGTGCTGGCCGAGGTTCCCTGGTCTGAGGAGGGCCCTTCTTCCTCCTCTGCCAGGCAGTGGCCGATGAAAACACAGAGTGCAGGTGGGGGCAGACAAATGAAATGTGGGAAGAAAGGACACAGGACAGGCTGGTTAGCAGACCAGCCTAGACTCTCCACTGCGAACAAACACCCACAGCAGTCGGCTCTCTGTAGGAAACCTCTGCCCAGAAAAATCTCTGTATTTTGATCATTGTTATTATTTTTTTTTAATACCAGAAGTACACTGCTCCAGAAAATTTGGGAACTCTGAAGAATGAAAAAGATACTCTGATCTCTTGGCAATTTTAGAAAACTAAACATTGGATCCTCTTGGACATGTCAACCTGTAGCTGACTGGCCCCTGAATTTCTCAGAGACATTTCCATGTGGCATCGTTAAGCGTATCTACCCCCTTTGTCTGCCCAACATCTCTCGCCGCCTATAGTCTATAAGGAATCGTGGTGGTAGCTGGCTGGGCTTATACAAGGTGAATCCCCCCCCACCCAAGACACAGTGAGCTGTAGGCAGCTGGCAGATCTGGGCCAAGGCACTCTCTGCATCTGCGAGCTGGAGCCTGTAACTCTGCTGGGAGGGCTCCCCATGACTCGGGGTAGCCGGCCCACTCTGGTTATGGGCTGGGAAGCAGGAAGGGTGTTTTGCAGTGTGAGAGCAGGGGCCACTCTTCCTAGAAGTAACAGATTGTCAGGTCTTTTCCTCCCATAGAGCAGCTGGTGGATTTGAACCACTGGCCCTTCAGTTAGTGGCTGAGCATTTTAACGAACATTGTGATTTTTTAAATGTATATATATTCTACACTGAACTCTTGAGCCAGCAGAATATGCCCCAGTCTTTGTGTGCATGGAGTGAGGACAACGGACCTGCTTTGTAAAGGTGGAAAAGAAAAGTACACAGTAAGCCATCCACCACCCGGCTGATACGTCGTGGGAGCTCAGGAACTGGGTGGTCTTCCGGCAGGAGGGACCCAAAGGTGCCAGGGCGGAGGCTGGGGCCCAGGGTCCTGTCGCTGAGTTCTTACCATTCTCCTGAGTGAGGCTCTCCATGTACTTGGCCTTCATCTGCTCCTCTTTGGAACGCTTCATCTCCTTAAAGTACTCGTACACCTCGAGGGGGAGCTTCTCCCCCGGGACCCGGGGAGGCAGCAGCAGGGTGTTGAAGGAGTCGTAGCCCTTGAGCATCCGTAAGATCTGCCAGGGGGAGAACGGGCTGCTGGGAGGTCTCCGTGGAAGGTGTCTCCCCAAAGCCCCACGCTGCTGTGCTGGGTGGAGTTTTCTCCCGGGGTCTGCCCATGCACTGTGACAGGTACTCAAAACAAGCACAGCGAATGGCAGTAGAGTGATAGCAAGACACTCATAAAGTGCCACTGCTGGCCATATGGAAAGGTTTTCTTAGAAGTAAAAAAATGCAAGGTAAAACAGTGCAAGCGGAAAACTTGGCAGAGACAGAAAATGCAACTTATTTTCCCATTAAAACATGGAACAGAAAAGTGCTAAGACTGCACTTTGTCACCGGTGGAAAACTTGTGAGACCTGGAAAAACCAAGTCAGTCCTATCGAGTTCCAGCTCTTACAGGTTTCACTGAATGAAGCACAGTGTAAATGTGTGCGCTCGCGTGGGTGTGTGCGTGTGTGCGAGAGGGTTGCCATACTAAATCTGAATTTCTGCCAAGTTAAATCTGAGTTTCAGATAAACAGTGATTTCCTCCCTCCCCGATAAATATATCCCATTGAACTGATTCCAATTCATAGTGACCCTATCCCTCCTCTTTGAACAGAGAAAGATTTGACAAAGAGCGAGCCAGTTTTTGGAGCTGTATGAGACCTTGCCTGCCCTCCTCACAGACTGTCTGTCCATCTTCTGGCAAGGAGGTGGGGGAATAGGTAGTCTTCTATAGCACAGACAGTGGCACAGGTTGTGCGGCCTCTCTGAAAGACCCCAAATGATTCAGGGTGAACCAGTCTCTGGAGAAGGACATCAGGGCGGTAAAGCGGAGGGTCAGAGAAGCAGAGGAAGCGCCTCGGTGAGACGGTGACTCGAGGGCTGTAATAACGGGCTCAAACCCAGCAGAGACGATGAGGACGGCACAGGACCGGGCAGGGTTCTGTCCTGTTGTATGTGACGTCATCATGAGACAGAGCCAACTCAATGGCACCTCTCAACAACGTCGTGAAAATGGACAAAATCTGACTCTGGGAATTTACGTGTATGCAAAATTGTGAGCGTAAAAATCACTGTCCTGTAGGAAGAGACCTTTTTTAAAAAACCAACAGTAATAAGTAACTACCAGAAGTAGTTTAATTTGCTTAGTCAATCTGGAAGTCAGAGAGTCAGCAAAAGTCACATGCTAATAAAACACTTCCATAGGTAAAAGTCAACCAATTTCTAAACACTCCAGCTTCTCAACCCCATAAAAAAGGGCAAGTAATTAATTGTATTAATGCAGAATGTTGACAAATGGTATTATCATTTCAAGGGAAGAAGAAAGAACACTTGACAAAATCCAGCACTCATTTAGGAAAAAACTTTTAGCAAACGGAAAACAGAGTTTAGAGGAATTTCTTTAATTTGCTGGAAATACCTACAAAAATCCACAGTAACTATCATATTTAATGGTGAAATGTTGCCTGTTTCTCTCTGAGGCCAAGAAAGAGATAAGAACGTCTGCTATTGCTTTGTTTTATTGTTGTTGTTGATTGCTGCACAACTCATAGCAACCCTATGAACACGAGACCTGAAGCCTTTCAATAACTATTGTAGTTTCTCAAAGTTTATCGAGCTTCCAGAGGCGTGTTGTGTAGGAAGTGGGTGGAGTCCTCGCCGGTACAATAAGACATGATTAAATACAAGGTGTAAAGGCTGGGAATGAGAAAAGAATGCCATTCTATGACAACATAACTGTGTAAATGAAAAAATTAAAAAATAATCTGAAGCCAATTCTTTAGAATGAATAACAGGACTTAGTAAAGGGCAAGGGGTGGGAAAGACCAAATTCCACGCAGAGGAGAACATGCCTTACGGAACGGCAGGGCCGAGCAAACACAGACACTTTGCGCTGCTACTCACCTTCTCTTCCATGAGATACTGCTGGTCCAATTCTAAGCAGTAAAACTCAATGGGGAAGTTGCAGGGATTCTTCACCACCACTTCAGCCTCGTCTCCGGGTGCGTAGGGCAGCAGGGGCCCCAGCTCCACAAGGGAAGGACTAAATTCCAGGTGGGGCATCAGCCCCTGGCCCTGCACCAGCAGCGCGAGCCTCTGATCACTCTGGGCAATCTGGAACATCAGAGTCTGGCTGTAGAATTTCTGGAAAACATGAGAGCAAACAACATGACAAGTGTCTGATTTTTCTGTGACAACAGTATGGAAGACACGAAAGACCAAGGGCCTGGCAGGGAGGGGTTGCCCAGAAAGCCACACTCCACCGGTGCCTCTCAGGAGTGAGTGTGTTACTACCCCAGGCCTCTCACTCCTGCTGTTGCCAGCACCCTCCAGTTGACTATAGACTTCCAGAGCTTGCATATGACAGAGGAGACCTGCCCATTGGGTTTCTAGGTTACCATTCCGACAGGAGCAGGCCGCCTGGGGTGCCTGTGGCAGCCCTGCTGAATGGGTCTAAGCTGCCAGCTTCCTGTCCCCAGGACTGGGGACTGCCTGCCGTGGACAGTCCCAGAGGGACTGAGTCCCAGTGCACACTCTTTGGTGGTTGGTATGTTACCGCTTTTCACTTCCCTACCAGTGGGGGTGCCGTGCACGCAAGCCCTTCCCTCCAAGCCGGCTCTGCTTCTGCTTCTGGAGGAACCCAGATGAACTTATTTCCACCATCAGAGAATACAGTTATGAAGGAGGTCTGGGTCTCATCAGCTGGGTATTCAGGACACTACTGGAACACTAGTTGTTAGTGATGTTACACTTGGTTTTCATAAAATGGCAAAGAAATTTACTTTATAGGCAGTGATTTCTAGTGTCGTTTCAATGGGGAATTTACTAGAAATATAGATTCACTGGCCCCATCTCTCTAGGGACAGGGTGATGCTTGGGAGTCTGCGTTTAAGTACAGCTGGAGTTACTACTTGAGTTTGGGGACTGAGATTAGCATTTTAAGTACTTGTAGTGGCAAGAGGCTGCGTCACGATCCTGAAGGCAGCGGTTCGAATCCACCAGCTGCTCCACGGGAGAAGGAAGGGCAGTCTCCTCCGTGTGATTAACTGCCTCTGAAAACCCGCTGGAGGGTCAGCTCTGGGTCTGTTAGGACTCGATGGTACACCAGCACCACAATGCTATCTTAGCTCAAGGGGGAAAAGCCATATAAAAAATGTGTATGGACATAAACAGACACGTATATTGCCACAAACAGAACAGATTATTAGCTAAGAGTATTTTTGGTATAGTTGTGAATTTATCATCTATATTTGATTTTTTTCAGGAGACCTTTCTTTTTTTCCCCCCCCTATAATTATATTTTATTAATTTTCATAAACATTTACAGAGATTTTGGAGGAGACCTTTCTAGAGCACTTCACCTAGCACTTTTTCTAGCAGAGTATTCTGAGCACATACATATGTTGGCAATTTCTCTTGGCAGCTGCTGCTGAAGTTTTCTACGAGACCTGGGTGGTTTCAGGGCTTAAGGACTTCTTGCAAGTTCCTAGTCTAACTGGTGGAAACATTTTATTTCCTTTGACTAAATCCAGCTCTGTATCTAAGGAACTCTGCCTGAACAAATCTATTTTACCATAGTTATTGCTATTTCCTTGCCATTGTATAGCTCATTCAGTAATTGGCGGGGTGGGGGGAATCTGAAATCTTGAGTAAACTAACTCAGGCTGAAGACTTTCTAAGAGCAACAAACATGTTACTAACTCTCTTTTCTCTGAAAAGGGTTGGAGGAGGTTTTGAAAGAGACAGGAACCTGAACTTGACTTTTGAATCAAATATAAAGGCATCTTGGATTCCAGATTCATCTTGGAGAAGATTAAACCAGGCTGCTCCTTGGAGGCAAGGATTCTGGGGCTTCGTCTGACATACTTTGGACATGTTGCCAGGAGCGACGGGTCCTTGGAGAGGGACATCATGCTTGGGAGGGTGGAGGGACAGCGCAGGAGGGGAAGGCCCTCTATGAGGTGGATTGATTCAGTGACTGGGGTAATCGGGATGGGTGTGTCAGAGGCAGTGCGGTTGGCGCAGGACAGAGCAGAGTTTAGGGCTGTTGTGCATAGGGTCGCTATGAGTCGAAAACGACTTGACGGCACATAACAACAACAACTTGAGGTTTGGGGAGTCTCTAAAATTTGCACAAAGACATGTAACATGGAAGGGCAGAGGCAGGGGATACTTATGCTCTTAACCACTACGCCACACAGCTTTGACAGGAGCAGAAGTCCCTAAGGTGTCATACTCAGGGGAATAAGGCACAGGTGACTAAAATCTTCTCCAAAGACTGTGCGTGGACTGGGAGGGAAGCGCAAAGAGATACAGGGACTCGGAGTGAAACCACATTTCTTCAAAGCTCACCTCTTCTGTTGGCATGAACTTCACCTGCACGTTGGACCTCTCCCCAGGATCCAAGATTCCAGAAGTAGGCTGAATCTCAAAGATCCGTGTCTGTGGCTTTAACTTGGCACGTGATTTCCGTATTAAGTACTTTGGCATGTGCTTCTCCAGCTGGCATAGATATTAGACAGTTATATCATTCTTTATGGAAAATGGACGCATCCTACCCTTTACACATTCAAATTACATTTACTGAGTACTTCTCAGGTGCCAAGGCTTATGGTTACTAGCCGTACAAAATGAACAAGACATTCAACTAGAAAGCATGGTCTAGTAAAGCCTGAATGCGGGGCTGATGGTCTGTTAGTCAGGAGGCAACGGGGGTCATGAAGATGTTGAGCGCGAGAGTGAAATGATGAGGATGAAAGCTGAGAATTACCATCTGGGCAAAATGCCAATGGAGACGAGAGGGCCGCTGGGCTACAGATTATTTTTACCTTGTCAACAGGCTTCTGCCTGTGGACAAACCATTCACAGGCAACTTGGAGATGATTAAAAAGCTGAATGGTTTCCACGAGGCACTGTCCACACTGAATCGTGGCAAACTCCACCTTCCCGTGAGACAGCATCATACTTGGAATGGTGACCTTGGCTTTGAGACAGATGTGAATGGTTGGTCCTCCAACCACCTAGAGCAAGTAGAGAATTACATGTGAGACCACACGGCTGGAGTTAAGGGGAAGGAGGAGGGTGAACGGTGATGATGACAGAAGTATCTCATCTTGTGGGGACCTGCACGCAGGACTGGAGGTCAGGGCACAGCGCATCTTACCTTGATGGGCAGTATTACTTCTTTGTCTCCAACCAGAAGATTGGCGGCCTGTGGGTCGAACCGCACCTCAAAGGTTTCTGTTTCACAGTAAGGCAGGTTCTTCACACGATCTAGCTCCGTACTGAAGCCTGGGCCAAGACAATCAGACAGACACAATTTCTTTGTGGGAAAGAGAAATAGCAAACAACAGGTGACGCAATTGAGCTCTCTCAGGGGCAAGACCACTAGTGAAAGCCTCTCCCACAGTCTAAGAGTTCCCTTCCTGGATCCCACAAGCAGCATGGTCACTAATGCAGGAGGATAACACTGATAGATACCTTGCTGGAAATGACAAAACGCAACACGTAAGGGTCTCTCCAGCTGGCTTACCTGTGTCGTGAAGGATGCGCTTTTCAGCTTGAAAGGACACTGGAAAGTGACCAGTGTTGGTGATCTTGATGATGTGGGTTCGGACATCACCAAGAATAATGTAGCCGAAGTCTAAGATATACTCCGGCAGCGGGATCCTGTAACGGTTGGAAGCTCTCCTTAACGGGCACCTTCAGACTCAGACAGCTTCTTCCCCCAAAGTGAGCAAGTGTGAGGTTCCCCTGGATCTTCTGTGTAGCATTTTATTCGCTACAGAGGACAACCACCAGCGGCCACCAGAATGGTAAGTCACACCACTGGTTCAGCCACTGTCTTGAGACACATCAGCGTGGACCCTACTTATTGAACTAAACTAAGGCCCGTCCATTAGACAAAGCTGGAATCTTCTGACTTGAGGAGGCAGAACCTACCTGGTTGGCCTGGTGCTGGGGGGTGGCAGATAAAGGATGGTAGTGGGTTTCACTCCTTCAGAATCAAGCATTGTTTCCAGGGGAACAACCTTCAGAGCCACGCAGGCGTCTGCTCAGTGGGGCACGGGGGGTGGGGCACTTACTTGGCCAGTTTGTGGCGGTTCCGATGGGTGAGGCAAGTGTCGTCTGTGGGGTCGGAAGTAACGGTTTTCTGATGTTCTAGGGCATATTCCTGGATGATAAGTCTTTCAACTTCCATCTGGAGCTGAGCACTAAACTGGAGCAAGACGCAAGAGCCGGTCAGCACACCTTCAGGGACCGATGGCTCCACCGCGACGGTTCCGCCTCTCACTTATTCACCGCTGCTGGTGACACCGATCCACAGCAACCCTCCTGGGCAGGGGCGAACTGCCCTGCGGGGCTTTGGAGGCTATAAATCCTAACAGTGTCATTGTTTCCTACAGAGCAGCTGGTGAGTGGGAACTGCTGGCCCACTATGCTGCCTGATCCATTAGGTCACTAACACCCCTAAATGAGGAGACGGATAGTTTTTAGAGGATAAAAGTAACCCCCAAAAACCTCAGCTTTCACATTGGTTGTGGTATCCAACAAATCGTATTATGATATCTGGGATGTGAATACCCCAAACCCAGGACAGAGAGTACTACTCAGGAAGGAAATGGATGAATTCTGGATATATGCAACAACTGGCATTTATCCTAAGGACATTATACGGAGCAGAAAAAAAAATCAATCTCAAAGGGTTATATATAAGATGATTCTGTTTACAGAACATTATTTTTTTTACTATTAAATAGTAATTATTTTGCTTTGTTTTTATATATTTTTAATTCATTGTTGCATGTTTTCTTCCTTCCCACCTCCTCTCCCCCTCCTTCAGCCCACTTCACAATGCACCCCTTATTCCAGATTACTGTCATACATCTAATTGCTAACCATATATTCCTTTCAGACAGTTCTTCCCCTCATTTGTTCTAATGCTGTGTTCATTATTTATCCACTTTTTTCCCCATTCTCTCCTCAACCAATCCTTTTCTGCCCTATTTTACAGCAGTGGTGTTACACAGTATTTGTCCTTTTGTGACTGAGCTATTTCACTCAGCATAACATCCTGCAGACTCCCCAGTATTGTGTAATGTTTTACGAGTTCATTGTTTTTCAATGTTGTGTAATATTTCATTGTGTGAATGTCACAGTTTTTCTATTTATCCGTTTGTTGATGGGCACTTGAGTTACTTCCATCTCTTTGCTATTGTGAACAATGCAGTAATAAGCATGGGTGTGCCTATATCAGCTCTGGTTTCTTTAGGTTATATTCCCAGTACTGGAACTGCCGGGTCAAATGGTATTTCTATTTCCAACTTTTTGAGAAAGTTCCAGATCACCTTCCATAGTGGCTTACCTTTTCATATTCCCAGCAGCAGTGAATATTGAATATTCTTGAGATAACAAAATATGGAGGATATAGAGGTGCTTCCCATGGGCAAGATATGGGGACAAGAGAGGTGAAAGATGAGGCTGCACCTTGCAAAAAACCAGGCTTTTGACAATCAGATCTTTGCAGGTGACTTTTAGGGTTCCCAGAGTTCTGTACACAATTGTAGTCTTCTTTTTAATTTTTGAGCCTTTTCTAAAACCAAACTTCTTTCTTAGGATACCATTCCGATACACATTTATATTTTAAAACAAGAGCACAAGAAAAGAACAGCCTTATCTAATGGTCAGGCATAGGAATAGGAGAAGAATTTCCGGTGATGGTCAGGGAGGTCACTTGGAGCCCTGGTGGCAGAGTTCATAGCTCGTGGAGGGCATGTCTTCAGTGGAGATAGATGGGCAGGCTCCTGTTAAGACTTCCAGCTTGGGAGACCCCATGACAAGCCATTACGAGTCAGGTCTGACTCGGTGGCAGTGACTGAGCCTTCACCTCACTCCCCAGGGGCAGCCTCTGTGTGTACGCTGGGCTACTTTCTCCCTTGAGACCACCTCTCTGGCAGCACACGTTCCTCCTTTGTCCAGAACTGGATGCCCTTCTTTGCCCATTGGCTATTTAATGGTGCTCCAAAGGACTCCCTTCCCAGTGTGCGCCCCCTCCCGATTCCTCCACTGGGGAACTTTCCGCCTCCTGGGATGACAGTGACTACCAACGCCTCTCCTCCAGGCTAGTCCTCGCTCTAGGTCCACAGCGACTATTCCAAGTCCCTCTCGGCTGCCTCCACTCAGATGATGCGGAGACATCACAAGCTGAGTGACAGACAGACAGTCGGAGCTTCTCTCCCCTTTGCCTCTGAACTTGCTTCTCATCCCGAGTTCCCCTTCTCTGTGCCTCCTCCTCATCTTGCCACTCAAGTAAGACACAGGGTGGGGGTCACTGCCCTCTCACCCCCACATTCCACCAATCGCTAACCCTTGACCTTTCCACCTCAGACACATTTTAAAAATCTGGCCACTTCTCTATACCTCCTGCTCCCAGGTACTATCTGTGTTCAAACTACCATCACCTCTTACCTAGAATTACTACTGCAGTTTAAAAAACCCCTCATCTCCATAAATCTAACCCCCAAGTGCCTTCTTTCTCCAAGTTCTACCACAGGCATCCATCCACAGGGATCTTTCAAAAACACAAATCCAGACATGTCCCAGCTTGAAGCACTTTTAGTTTTTTGTTGAATTCAAGATAAAGTCCAGAATCTTAATAGGTTCATGAGACCACTGCCTAACTCCCAGACCCATCTCTGCCCCTCCGGGCCTCTGTGCTCTAGGCTTCAGCTATGCTCGCCTCTTTTCTGTTCCTCAGTCAGTTTCCTTCTCGCCCAGGGGCCTTTGCACATACCGTCCTTGTAAACACACAGTCTGTGTGGGGTGAAGTCAGTTTTACCTCAGCAAGGTCATATTCAGATGTTTCCTCCGTTATTGTCTCGAAGTGCTCATTAGGCTCATATCTGTCATACTCTAGGTTCTTTTTTGCTTGATTCAAGAAGTTTTCATATTTTTCATTTCCTGTGGGTATTGGAAGAAGAGAATAAAAGTCAATGGGAAACATATGAATCGAGAATAGGTCCAAAGAAATGACTCTTGAAGAATTAAATGGTGTCCAGCTATCACCACTGACGGTCCCAACAGGAGTCTTAACCAATGGTCCTGGATAGAATGAGAGGAAAATGCAGATCGGAGCTCAAATTCTTAAGAAGAGCCCAACAAACTGGTATAGCAGATACCAGAGGTCTTGCAACTGCCTTGAGAGACTATTTAAAGCTAGCACCACATCTATCCTAAGATCACCTTTCAACAAAAGGGGAGAGTGACACATAAAAGAAAGGGTGTTACCTATAAAATTGATGCTCTATTGAGAAGACAGCTCTATGAGACCAAAGGGCGGACAATGACTCAAAAGCAAAAGTGAGAAGATAAGAGGGTAGGGAATTCTGAGGACTGGAAACGGAGCAAAGAGAACACAAGTGAAGAGCAGGCTGACACCCTGAGCTAAAGAATGTCACTGAACAATCTGTGTAGGGACTGCCAAATACAAGCCTAACCTGCTGTGAAAACATTTCACCAATAACTCAATAGGATCTTATTTACAAAGCAAAACACCGACTCTCAGCCTCAAGGCAAAGGGAAGCCAACTTTTCTTTCGTCTGTTGTGCTTTCTTGGTTTCTGAGGGTGAGATGCGTGAGCTGAATCATCTCCAAGATCTCATCATGTTTCAGTAGCTTGTGTCCTGGTGACCTACCACCTCATTACTGAGACCGTGGTGGGAACAACATCCCAAGTCCCTTGGGAGGATGACCAACTCTACCAACCGACATGGATTTTAGTGCTGAAGGCTTGTGTCCTCGGGACCTCATCAGGGGCAGGCAAAGCAGGCTCGCTGGCCATCAAAATGCAAAGAGCACACATGTCACACAAAAAATACAGGGTCAAGTTCCTCCAAGACAGACTAAATAAGCCATAATCCTTGAGATTGGGGAAGGCAGGCAATCGGTGGAGAGATTTCAGACACCCAACTTCATCACTAAACCACAGCCAAGTGAAAGGGTTCCAGGGCCCAGGGAGGTAAACTGACAAGTGGGCTGCAGTGAACAGAAGGGCCAAGTAACACAATTCCAGTTTACGTCATGCTAAAGCTGCGTACTGGCCAGGCAAGTGATCTCGCGCACTCACAAGGCCAGCGAGTGCCCAGTTCAACTGGGCGGCAAAGGTGCTTCTATATGTGGGGCTGCGGTCATCCCAGCCAGCGGGGACTTGAGGCTCTACAGTGAAAGATTTAGCTCTCTGGCTTATACACTCATCTGTCAGGGAGAAGACAGGTGAATAAGCGGCTTTAAGGAGTAGGGTAGGAAAAAAGGCAAGAAGTGAGGTGGGAGGAAAGACGGAGGTGTGAGCACTGAGCCTGAAGTGTGTGAGGGAACCCTGGCTCCAAGGAGCTTGAGAGGCCTTGTGAAGAAGAGGGAGAAACTGCTCTTGACTCGTTGTCGGGAAGGGCCTCTATTTCAGAACGAGCGACTCCAAGAGACTCGATGGCCAAAGAGCTGCTCAGCTGAGTGTCAGGACCTGCCAGGGCAGGTGTTACGTTCCTACCGAGCCCAGAGACGACCAGCAAGGTCTTGACTGAGTTTTGTCTGCAGACAACAAAGAAAAGTCTAACTTCGCTTCTACACTATTGAATCCCACAGCCAAGCAACAGTGAGGCAGGAAACGCACGAGCACCCCTAGCCAGCCAGCGGCTGCTGAGAGGGCTCCAGGATCGTCAGAACACAAGTGTGCCCCACGTGCTTTCCAAGGATGGGCAGGCTGTGAGAAGGCCACTCGGCCTTTCTTCCAGGGCACTTCTGGGTGGACTTGATGTCCAAGCCCTGATTCGCAGCCAAGTCCTTAAGCACTTGCATCTCTCCAGGACTCCAAACCAGGGAGCCAGAAGCTGTGACTGTTTTTCCAAACCCAGCCTGTAGTTCGAGAACTCTATGTAAGCCGCTCCTGGCCTTCTCGGCAGACATCTGCGAGCATGCTTTTGGGAAAAGACAACTCACAAAGAGGCTGCAATGGGACGAACTTGCAGCGGAGGGAAAGGCCTCTGGAAGGGAGATTTCCTGCTCCCTTTATTCACAGACTGCTGGCTTTCAATGACTGGCCTGCAGTCGTAACTGGGGCCAGCCATGAGCAGATTTTGTCTCTGTGGACTTAGGTCACCACCTGAAAGGAAATTCATTTTCAAACCACAGAAAGGCACCAGGAGAAGTTGACAAATCAAGTGAGAGGCCATCAGCTTTCCAATAAACCCCTACAAAGGATCTGTTGCCCTCAGTGGAGAAAGACTGATCCCACGTGCATCCGGAGTACCTTTGAGGTTCCTGGGGAGATCGAGGCAGATTCGGGGAAAGATTCCCTCTCCAGTCAGCGTGATATCGTCTGGGTCCAAGTGGGCGACCTGAATCTGGAACTGCCTGTGGAAGACCCCAGGTACTCCAGGGAGGTAGTAAACCTTCAGCAACTGCTCCTCGTGGGATGAGATGAAACCCTATGTTGTGAGACCAGAGAGGAGGTTAAAATGGACCCTGTATTTAAAGTGGACTTCTGCTCTTGGGGGGACTAGAGAGCACGTGTGGCCAGTGTGCTGGTCACTTTCCACTCACACTCCTCCCCAGTACCCAGTGCCAGGAAGTTCTAAGCACACAACAATCAACCAAGAGATGAATGGGCAGCACATACACACAGAGGATGGGCAGCATTTCATAACAGAGGATACGGACGGCAAATGCGAGCAGCAGAAGCTGCTTCCTGTCATTAATATTCTCATCGCTGAACAGTCAGGCCCGGCTCACAGCTGCCTGAGCACTGCGTTTCCAAGGCTGTAAGTTGCACAGGGGGAGAGCGGGCCTCCTTCTCACTTGGGGTCCCTAGTGGATTCGAGCCACGGAGACCCTGCCTTTAGCTTGGCAGCTCACCCCTCTATAGATCTGTCACCAGATCTTTTTATAAGAGTTAAAGGAGGGGTCAACATGCAAGTGAGCAATGTTTTATGGTCCCCAGGACAGATCTCTACACCTCCTTCTCCTTCCCCCTCGCCCCTGAACAGTAATTCACAAGACTGTTCTCTTCCACAGAGAAGTCCTTTCAGCATTCGGTGTTCCTGGGAGCGGTGGTGATCTCAAGTACCTATCAATGTGTTTCCCAACAAAAGCAGTTCTCTTGTATTCAGGTAGGGGATTTCCCTCTATTTCGTTAGATGTTTGCAAATTAACATATACTATTAGGCTTTATAAACTTCTGTTTTCACCAGAAGAATTTGACTTCATAATAGAAAATCTGGGAAATAGACATCCACGTTAGAAAGAAATCAGGAAGGAACATAGCCAGTGTAGTTAAACGTGGAGATTTCAACGCGGTGGACTCAGGCAAATGAATGCACACCTGTAATTAAATGTGTCAAATAGGAAAATGTATAAAACATGAGATTATTATTTTTTTTTTACCATAAAGGCACACTTTGGTTTATTGAGTGTCACTTTACTGAGCTTCAAAGATACATTTTTTTTTGGGTTTTTTAACAAGTGGAAGTTCGTGGCGACTCTATGTTCAGCACAGTTACTCTGATAGTTTTTCCAATAGCAGGTGCTCAATTTGTTGTCTGTGTCACACTGTCGTTAGTCTCATAATATTGCAAACGTTTTCCCAATGCTATTACATGCCTAGTAAGTGACAGTGTGGTTATACACGTTCCTTGTAGATGTGTTGGAAACTGCAACAGCAACAAAGAGTCCGACTTGCCTTACTTAATACAGTATTTGCTTCCTTACGGTGTAGAGCAGATTATCCGAGAGGTTGGGCTCTATGAGGAGAACTGTGGCATCAGGATTGGTGGAAGGTCTATTAACAATCTCCGTTATGCAGATGATACAACCCTGCTTGCTGAAACTGAGGAGGACCTCATGCACTTGCTGCGAAGGGTCAAGGACTGCAGCCTTCAGTATGGACTG